GATTCCATTTCTGGAAAGTCATCTTAAGAAAATAGATGATGGGGGCGCCTGGGTGGCGCAGTCGGTTAAGCGTCCGACTTCAGCCAGGTCACGATCTCGTGGTCCGTGAGTTCGAGCCCCGCATCAGGCTCTGGGCTGATGGCTCGGAGCCTGGAGCCTGTTTCCGATTCTGTGTCTCCCTCTCTCTCTGCCCCTCCCCCGTTCATGCTCTGTCTCTCTCTGTCCCAAAAATAAAATAAAAAACGTTGAAAAAAAATTTAAAAAATAAAAAAAAAAGAAAATAGATGATGATCGTGATCATGATGATAATAACAGCAGCTCAGCTTGTGTTTTAAAGAGGCCGGGCACCAATCTAAGTGCTTTATATACATTTATTCATTTCTCGTAATAACTTGCATTCCAGTAGCAGGGGAATTAATGAATAAACTGTGATGCATCCATAAAACAGAATATCGAACAGCCCTTAAAACTCGTGTTCTTGAAGGATATAGAAAATACACATGACAAAGTGTTACATAAAAATGTGTGTTATGAAACAACAATTTTATTATATTTTTAAAAACTAATCAAGTGTAAGTAAAGATAGGTATGTGTGTATGTCTAATTGCTTTTATTTTTTATTTTTGGAGGGGGGAGCTAATGAAATTAGCGGTGTTTAAAATTTTATCCTTCATTATTCTAGTTTTACATTAATTTTTATTTCTCTTATGTAATTTTAAATACTGTGTAATAAATATTGCTTCGTTCATTCACATCCTGGTGCGGATCCTCTGAACAACTGTGAAAACCACTCTGTGAATGAAATGGACACCAGGTGGCGCTCTTGGGTCCTGAGCATCCTCTAGAAAGCCGTCACACCAGACTAAGGCGTTTGTGCTTCATACACTCCCATTAGGGCTCAAACTGAAACTCTCAGTGGCTTAGATATATTTTTAAGTTATTCTTTCCTAAATATAGTCAGCACACATCGGGAGCTGGTACTGAAGTAGTTTCGCATGGCAGAACCTGATAACGTGTCAAGCTGAATTGATCTTTCCCCACCTGTTGTGTCGAGGGTTGAGGCAGCCAGTAACGTCTTCTGCATCCATAAATGCTTCATGCACCTGCCACGACTTCTGACTCCATGTTTTCCTACTCTTCCTTGCAGAAGCTCGTTTCCAGGTCGACTCTAAGACGACAGGGAAGGGAAAGCACCAAAGAAGGAAATGGGATCGGGGTTAACTCTTCCAGCCGACTTGGTATCGACAACTTTGAGTTCATCCGAGTCTTGGGGAAGGGGAGTTTCGGGAAGGTGAGTCACGACTTTAGGTGTCTGGGTTAAAGGAAGCATGTTTGAGTGTGCGTGTGTGTATACACACGCATACTTCCCAAGTGCCGGGAAGTGTGTGTTCCCACACCCTCGGAGCCTCAAGAGTTCTCACGCCTGTGCTCCATCCTCCCGCGCTGCCGTAGGTGATGCTGGCAAGAATAAAAGAAACCGGAGACCTCTATGCCGTGAAGGTGTTGAAGAAGGATGTGATCCTGCAGGATGACGATGTGGAATGCACAATGACAGAGAAAAGGATCCTGTCCTTGGCTCGCAATCACCCCTTCCTCACTCAGTTGTTCTGCTGCTTTCAAACGCCTGTAAGTAGGACTCACATGCATCACCTCAATGCCCTCCTTTCTTAAAGAGTTCAGATGTTAAAGGTTTCATAAAGAAGTGCATCAGACTTTAGAAGGATGAACTCCCATTCTAGGCTCTGTGAAGGAGCTTGGGTTTTAGTTCTGAGAGCAAATGGAAGAAATTTAGCAGACGAATGACAGATCAGGTTGTATTTTTTAAGTATAAAAAAGGTAACTTTCTGCAATTGGTAATAGAAGCATCCTTTAATTATCTGTATCCTTCCTCTGAAGGAAACTGTTATTACTGATTTCATTATGTACCTTTCCAGAGAATTTATTGCACAGGAAAGCATACACCCACACTACATATATGTATCTGTATTTTTTATTTTTATTTTTATTTTTTATTTTTTTTTTAAATTTTTTTTTCAACCTTTTTATTTATTTTTGGGACAGAGAGAGACAGAGCATGAACGGGGGAGGGGCAGAGAGAGAGGGAGACACAGAATCGGAAACAGGCTCCAGGCTCTGAGCCATCAGCCCAGAGCCCGACGCGGGGCTCGAACTCACGGACCGCGAGATCGTGACCTGGCTGAAGTCGGACGCTTAACCGACTGCGCCACCCAGGCGCCCCTGTATCTGTATTTTTTAAAAACACAAATGGTAAGGATACTTTGCTCACTGGGAGATCATGACATGAGCCAAAGTTGGATGATTAACCTGCTGAGCCACCCACGTGCCCTTCCAGCTGCCTTATTTTTAAAATAACTGCAGAGTGGGGCGTTTGGGTGGCTCAGTGGGTTACGTGTCTGACTTCGGCTCGGGTCATGATCTCAGTGTTCGTGAGTTCGAGCCCCGCATCGGGCTCTGTGCTGACAGTTCAGAGCCTGGAGCCTGCTTCAGATTCTGCATCTCCCTCTCTCTCTGCCCTTCCCTGCTCACACTGTTTCTCTCTCAAAAATAAAAAAACATTAAAAAAATTTTTTTTAAATAGTTGCATAGTATCCCAAGACCAGGACATAATTTATATAACTTGTTTCCTATTGTTATACATTTAGATTGTGCCTAGCAGTTTTATTCCAATCAATGTGGCAGTGAGTCCCCTTGTACTTTTGTCTTTACGTATTGTTCTTTTATTTCTGTATGACATACTATTAGCAGTGGTATTGTTTGGGCAGTGGTATGTGCATTTAAAATTTTGACTGAGTCCAATTGGCCTTCTTCCCCCTAGCAGTTCAAGATAGCTAACATTTTAACACCTATATACCAGGCACTGTTCTAAGTGTCTATGAACATTGTCTCACTTAATCCTTAGAGTAGCCCTGTGAAGTGAGTTCTGTTAACACCACTCCCATTTTTCCAGAGAAGGAGACTGAGGCCCAAAGAAATTTAGCTTCCAAGAGATGGAGGTTTTGACACTGGGCAGCCTGAATGTAGAGCCCAGGCTCTTATCTCTTGCTTGCCATATTTTTAAATGTACACTTTGAAGCCGTGCGTGAGGCCTCTTTCCCCCCTTGTCCCATCGCACCATGTAGCCTATCATTTTGATGATCAGAGAGATTTACAAAATGGTTTCTTCAGAGTCCTAATTGGCATTTCTGGAACTGTGAGTGAGGCTGAACATTCATTCGCAGATGTGTAAGGATCCCTTGTGTTTAAATACGTTGACCCTGTGCAGCCTGGAGAAGGTGGGGGTGGCAGGCAAGCCTAGGAGCTGGGAGACAGGATGTATGAAGAGCGTGTACTCTCATGCCAGCCAAGCATACTGAAAGGAGCTGGGGAGTCAGTTAATGCTCCTTCCCCTCATGGTCTGCACTCAAGGAGGCCACACCCTCCTCACCTCATGGTCCGTGGTTCAGTAAAACAGCCCTGGAGCCCGCACTGCCCCTGCTGCCCTGCCTGATTCTGGGCTGCCCATTCCTGGCTTCCTTGGACGCTCCAGTTATGCTCATCCTCTTCGCTTCCTGGAGAAGCCTTGAAATTCTATTTCCTGTGCTCTGTGCTTTGCCTACACAAAGCCCTCCTCACCTCTCCCATCCAGCGATTATCGCAGAGGGGAATAGGGTGACAGCTCAGGCTTGAAAACAGCCTTGTCAAGAAGGATGGTATCATTTGATGGAAACCAGTTGTCTGCCTGCATTTCAGGCTTGAGCCTCAGGCTTCTACCGTGAATCACACAGCCAAACAGGGCTACACTCAGATCATCTTTCCACGGCCTGAGCCCAAGAGTGGATGGTTTTCTATAATATTGAGTTAGATGATCTAAACTGGCTGATAACCTTTGAATCAGACAGTTGACAGGCAGGTAGTGAACTTAGTCTGGTGGGGCAGTGGCCATTATTTAAAGTTACTCTAATGAACGAACAAAGAAGTGTCTCACGCTCAACTCCAGGGGACTTCTGCCTGCCAAAGGAGATCCCCATGATTCTATAGAAGCCGTCAGAAGTCTCACCACAATTAGATTGTGTTATGGTAGAGTAGAACAAGAAATAAGCCTGGAAAACACTGAGAACCCAGTGAAAATAGCATGAAGAGTGCATAATTTTCTGGAAAAATATAAATTATACAATATAACAAGTTATTGGTGGCCACACCGAACTTCTACAATGTTCAGCAGGTGAAATCTTAAGCATTGGCGGTTTATTTTTCCTAGTGATAGTTTCATGTGTGGCCACGAGGTGGCAGTCGTTACCGCATGGTGATTTTATTTCTCCACTGGAGCTGAGAACCGACACAGGGGGTTAGAATTTGTGTTTTGCAGTAGATGTCTCCAAAGCAAAGGATAAAAGAAATTTTCCCCTGCCCTAAGTCTAGATGATAAAGGAGAGAGGACCGACTTAAAGAATGAACTGAACTTTCCTCATGCTGAGATAGAGATACACAATTTTTATTTTGCTGTAGTTTATTCCTTCTCTCCAGTTGGCAAGGTATTACACTCCTTACTATGCAAGGCATTTATTTGCTGTGTCTGTCAGAAATCCTCAGTAACTATCTCCATTTGCTGTTGAAAAAGATAACTGTAAAGAATAGAAGATGTTAATTACTATAAGGAATTGCAGCAGATTCGTTACATTTTAGCTACTCAGTTTGGCAGGTCATGGCCTCTAAAATGAGATGCTAATCTTTGTGTTATGCTGAACTGTTACCGTCAGCATTTAGAAGTGAGCCGAGGTGAGGTACTGGGGTCACATCCCAGCTGTCTACAAAGTATTGTCTCATTATAAAGAGTGTTAGAGGGGCGCCTGGGAGGCTCAAGTCAGTTAAGCGTCCGACTTCATCTCAGGTCATGATCTCACGGTTCGTGGGTTCAAGCACTGTGTCAGGCTCTGTGCTGACAGCTCAAAGTCTGCTTCAGATTCTGTCTCCCTCTCTCTCTGCCCCTCCCCTGCTCACACTCTGTCTCTCTGTCTCTCTCTCTTTCTCAAAAATAAACATTTAAAAAAAAATTGAAAGACCCTTAGAGAACTCTTACTCTCTCCTGTCCATCCCTGTGAAATGAGTGTCCCTGGGGCCCAGAGAAAGGGAACAGGAAACTTGCAGAGGCAGAGGGTCACTTAGACTGTAAGTAGGGAAGACAAGGTTCACCTCTGGGTCAGGCTGACCCTGGAGCTGCCACTGTGCTCTGACCCATCAGCGCACATGTCATTGATTCAGCATCTGCCTAAGCACCTCCTGTCTGCCTTGGCTCCCCTCCAACCTGTTGATATAGAAGCAGCATTGCCCTTGGAAGTGGAAGACCTGAGTTCTTCCAACTTTGTTTTCCTCTGAGTGGCTGAAGTCTACCTGAAAATTCTTTTGAGCTTTAAAGTTCTCATGGTTAAGATGAAAGAAGGATTGTGGTGAGGACCAAAGGAGAGAATGCAGAAATGCTTTGTAACGTGCAGCACTATTCCAAAATGAGTAAGACTCATTGCTGTGATGACTGCCTCCTTCCTTACACCAAAGAAAAATGTCCTGGGGCTTCCCAGGGGCCAGCATAGACCCCATATAGAGGGTATAGTAAACCCCTAATAGTAGGACTTTGGGAGCCACTCTAGTTCTTGGCAAACGCACAAAGGTCGATTTCAAATTGGTAGATAGTTTATCCAGTTTGCTTCATAGGATTGTGTGCTCATAAATTACTGCCTCCAATTTTTTTCCTAATATTGCATGTTACTCACAAATACATAATTAAATTGCCATCCTCATACATTGGCGATAGCATAATTCCTAATAGTTTATGAATAATTTGATAATCTGGATCAAGACTCATAAAAGTACTTAAATTTTTTTATTTCATGTTTATTTATTTTTGAGAGAGAGAGAGACAGAGTGTGAGCGGTGGAGGGGCAGACAGAGAAGGATACAAAGATTCCGAATCAAGCTCTAGGCTCTGAGCTGTCAGCACAGAGCCTGATGTGGGGCTCGAACCCACAAACCGCAAGATCATGACCTGAGCTGAAGTCGGATGCTGAACTGACTGAGCAACCCAGGTGCCCCCTCATAAAAATGTTTATACTCTGGGATCTGTTGATTTTATTTCTGAAACTAGCCTAAGCAATAGAAATAAACGTTATATATAAAGACGTTTAAGTTTTCAGTGCACCATTTATAATAGGAAAATATTGGAACCAACTTGAGCATTCAGCAAGAGGAATTTACTTAAATAATAAAATATTTAAATGTGATGAAGATTTTTCAGCTGGTAAAGAGATAATGAATAATAAGCAGTTGAATGACAACGTGTCATAAGCACCTAGCACGTATTATTTATTGCTTACGCTTCTTACAACAGCCCTGTAAGATAGGTACAATTATTGTCTTCATTTTGCTGAATGATAAAGTCCTGAGGCCTTAAGTCCCTTGCTCAAAATCTAATATAGTAAATGGTGGAGCTAGGAAGTTAGAGCCCAGGAGATAATACAGAATTTATGATGATTGGTAGTGTATATCCACATCAGGATCTGCCCCAGATGGTGAATGGGCAAACCTAGCTCCTCCAAAAAGGGACAGGAAGGAAATTATGTGAAATAAACTACCAGGGATGGAATGAAGGTAGTGACGTGGCGGATGGTTTTTCTTCTTTGTTCTATTTTCTGATTTGGGTAATGTGACTATATTTCTTTAACGTTGAGGGTGGAGGGTGGGGGGGATGGGGGAGATGGGGGGATGGGGGGGAGGGCCCTGTGGGGGTGCAGGCCTAGTGAACACTGCCTTCCCAGACTCTTCCAGGTTCTATTCCCTTCACACTCCTTTCGTCTTCATCAGTGGCTCTGGTGTCAGCAGCTGAGCATCCTGGCATTTACGGCCCGGAATCCAGGCCTCCCCACCCCCATCCCCAGCTCCCAGGGGCTGTCCACTGGCTCTCCTCCTGGAGCCTCAGCTGAGTGTGAAGGGAGGAAAGAACAAAGACGGGGCAGTAGCAGGAGGGGGAGTGGCAAAGTAAATACTGGTCAGATGCCTTAGCCTTTGTTCAGAGACCCAGTTTATTGAAGCAAAAATTTCCATTTGGAAGACATAAGACACGCTGTGCCCGGTGCCCAAGAACTGCCTGTCCGTCATCCGCAGGACCCGGGCCCAGGTCAGAGAGACAAGCCACAGCAGAGCCTCTCTTTTTTTGGGATTGCTCCGGTGGTCTGTGTTTGCAACCTGCTGTGTTCAGGGGGGCCACAGGGTGCAGGGTCCCTTCCTTCATGAGGACAGAAGCCCAATGCTCTCATTTTCTACCCCCACCCCTCCTTCACTTGTCAGTGTTTCCCCAGGACATCTGGGCTGCCGGGGAGGGCCCAGGGTGTTCGCCTGCACAGGTTGTCCACGAAGCAGTGCACCTGCAATGCTGGCAGGGACACAGCTTTGCTTAAGCAGCCACTCCTCAAATATTGGTCAACAAAGCAGAAATCCTCCTTCCCAAGGTTAAAGTGTCCGGGAAACTTGTGTGCTACATGCTGTCCGCTTACACAACTGGTGCACAGTGATTTCCATGTACTTAAGTCACCCTTGAAATACGTTATGAAAACCGTCTGGCAATGTGAGTGCTTGGGGACATTATTCTCTCCCTTGCAGTTATACCGCTGTGTGAAATATTAGGAGTGTGTGTGTGAGAGAGAGAGAGAGACGGACAGACAGATGAGATAGCAAGATAGTCACGTGGCTCTGGAAGGAATCTTCCAGAATTTTACCAGGCAGGTGGCTGCGCTGCTGCCTTCAGTGTCAGAGCTCTGAGTTCTACTGCTGGCTTAACTAGTAGTCCCCTTGTTTTTAAGAAGGTCCTTTCATTAGATTTTTTTCTTCTGTATAAACCCCTCCACCTGAAAACGTGGTTTTTGTTTTTTTTCTGTCAGTGGACCCATTGGTGCAGAGAGTGACCCTGCAGTTAGCTTCGCGCATGTGGTGGGCGGGAAGCTGCAGCCTGCCCCAAAGCCCCACGGCCCTGCACGGCCCTGCTCGGCCCCGCTCGGCCCTGCACAGCCCCACACCCCTGCATGGTGCTACAGCCCTGCTCAGCCCCATGGCCTTGCACAGCCTCACAGCCTTGCACAGCCCTGCACAGCCCTGCTCAACCCCACAGCCCTGCACGGCCCTACATAGCCTCACAGCCCTGCACAGCCCCACACAGCCCTGCACAGCCCCACACAGCCCTGCTCAACCCCCGCACAGCCCTGACTGCATTCCAGTCTCTCCAGCTCTTTTTCCCTTTCCTGAGTGTTTAGTGGGTATTTGGCGGCGGTCACCAGGCCTGTTTGTCTGCTGATCTGCAGCTAGCAACTGGCCTAAGGGAAGAGAAGGCACACTTGGCCCCAGGAGAAGCATTGCCCATGGTGCCCTGAGTTACAGTGACATCCAGATGAGGGGCAGAGACCCTGTGAGGCGAGGAGAGGGGAAGGTGCAGCCAAAAGAGCTAGAAAGGACAAGGGTTCTAAAGAGGCCTCTGTTAATGCCTTCAGATAGCTGGTCAATTCTTGGAGCCTGGAGGGTCCCAGTTTGGTAGAGGGGGTGGGCGAAGAAGAAATGGAGGCAGCAGCTACTGTTCATTGAGACTTTAGTGTGTGTTCTAGGTGCTCATTCATTACCAGTGCCTGTACAACTGTGCATGTGGGCATTTCATAAATATCTGTTGAATGAAATATCTCATTTAATACCCTCAACAGTCCAGGGTGGTGTAGATACTATTATCTTCATTTTAAAGATCTGGAAACTGAGAGGTCCAGAGAGGTTAAATAATTTGCCCCCAAGCATACCGCAAGCAAGAGTTAGACCATGGATTCTTAACCAGGTCATCTGGCTTAATACTCTATGCCGTTACTTTTAAAATACCTCGGATAGAAATGTCTCCTCCCTGGAATGTGTACAGCTGAGAAGAGTGTCATTAGGCAGGAATAAGGGCAGTTTTTCACAATACATAGTTTTGTAGCCTTTTATGAACCACCTAAGGATATTTCCCCTTATCTGTTTGGAACTAGGTTTCCTCCTTTCCCTGAGCAATGACGGCCACAAATACTATTTGGTCTGCTTATGGGTCATGTGTTAGAGTTTGCCTTTGGCTCAGATCGAAATAGAAAATGAGCCAGAACATGGTGTTTCCCAGTTGGGCATGTTCCCAGCTTATTAGCAGTGCTCCATCTGGGGACAAAACGCACACAGACCGTCTCCAGACTCTGGGTTTGTGTGTGTGTGTGGGGGGGGGGGGGTCATTTGCGACCTTTGCTTCTGTCCTCTTGGGCTTTCTGTGGCCAAATGGGGCCATGAAAATGAATGGGGAAATAGGAGAATCTGAAGTTCGTGCTGTTCCTTTGGCTCTCCCTGCTCGGGTAGGACTGCCAGGGGACTTGGTGTGACAGAGGGGTTTGAAAGAGCTGGCGTGCTTCTCAATTCGAGGTCGCTGGGCTGTAACTGGCCTTGTTGTCACTAGCCATCACCCACCTGACGATCTGGAGATCATGTAGACCTGCCACTTCCATATTCGGTAAGCTGGTTCATGGATTGTGTGTAATTTCCCTCCGTGTATCCAAGACTTGCCCTGGTCACAATGGGCCCTGTGCTTCCCTATGACTGTCCAAGCGTGGTGGTGTTAAGTGCTTTGTTGGACTTTTCCCTGACTGTGACTGGGAACCTGCCAGACTATAGATGCTCTGGCCCCAGCAGGGCCCTGTGTTGAAGCACTGGGCTTGAAGTGCCAGGGTTGGCTTCAAGGAGGAGAATGCGATGGGCCTTTTGCCAAATAGTTCAGTGAAAAGTCTATCAGTTCAGGATCACGCTGACTGCTAGCAAGAGAAACAGTCCTTTGAATCCTCAGTCTGATCGGGAAGAGAGGATTCATGCACATGGAAAAGCGTACGGTAGAGAGCATGGAGTAAACACAGTCATACTACAAAAGGAAAGGTAGCTGAAAATGTACACTCCAGGGCACCCAGGTGGCTCAGTCGGTTAAGCGTCTGACTTCGGCTCAGGTCATGATCTCCTGGCTCGTGAGTCCGAGCCCCGCATTGGGCTCTCTGCTGTCAGCACAGAGCCCCTTCGGATCCTCTGTTCCCTCTCTCTCTCTACCACTCCCCCTCTCTCTACCCCCTCCCCTGCTTGGGTGAGCTCGCTCTCTCTCTCTCTCTCTCTCTCTCTCAAAAATAAACAAACATTAAAAAATTTTGAAAAAGAAAATGAACACTGAACCCCGGGGAAATCTTTCCTACGTCCTGCCAATCTTTCCTCAGAAATGTAACCAGAATGGCTACAAGGCTAAGTAACTAGCATCTGAGCTGTAAGCAACACCCGGGGGGCCGCCTGCAGGTGTTTCCCTCGGAAGTTGGATTGAGTCCTACCAAGACTGGGGCATTCAGGCCAAGGCCTAAAGCTACGCTCGTGAGTGGCTGGGGGGCGTCCACCCCGCGCTGATGATAGAACTGTGCACCATGAAAACCTGACCGCGGCTCACACGCAAACCATAGACTGCAATGTATTCTAATTTTGAAACACTTGAGTTTTCTGTAACTACTTCATCACTCGTAAGGGCCCAGCTGTGTCCCTCTTCCCTCAGTCCAACAACTGCCTATCCAGGGCCTCCCAAGACAGAATCAGCCTTGTCTGTGCGTATAATCTTAGCTCAACTGCAAGTGTACCGAATTGCTGCTGGCCGGTGAGGCTAGAAGGTGTTTATTCAATCAGCAAATGTGCACTGAGTGCCTTCAAGGTTTCAGGCTCTGCTGTTAGCCCTGAGGATGCCGGCAGTGAACAAAACAGACAACAGGCAACTCTCCCCTCATGGTGCTGAGGTTCTCCTGGGGAGTCCATGGGCCTGAATAGGCTGTTTATAATGTCAAAGCAGCTGGCGACCCTCCTTGGTGGG